TACCCAACCACAGGTAAATACACATTTTTTAAAGCTGCACATGGATCATTTTCTAAAACTGATCACATACTAGTCCATAGGTTATGCTTAAGTAGATGCAAAAACCAAAAATTATCCCATGAATATTATCTTGACTACAGTGCAAAGAAACTGGAAATAAATGACAAAAGAAACCAGAAAAAAAACCCATGAATACCTGTAAATTAAACAACACCCTCCTCAGCAACCAATAGGTTATAGATGACATTAAACAAGAAATTAAACAATATCTACAATTCAATGAAAATTCAAGCACAACTTATCAGAACTTATGGGATGCAATAAAAGCAGCTATTTTTAGAGGGAAATTTATAGCTGTGAACTCTTACACTAGGAAAATAGAATGGGAACAAATAAACACCCTAATGGTACACCTCAACCCTACAGAAAAGGAAGAGCAAACCAAATCCTAAACCCAAAGACAGGAGAAAATTATAAAGATGAGAGCAGAAATTAACGCATTCAAGACAAAGAAAACAATACAAAGAATTAATGAATCAAAAAACTGGTTCTTGAGACAGCGGAGCTGGGAAAGGGGAGGTGGAGGAGGCGGAGGCAGAGCAGGAGCTAGGCAGTGGGACTGAGCGGTAGGCCGGCGGGGCTGGGCCACGCAGAGCCCGCCCAGCGAGCCCTCCCACGACCTGCGCGGGTGGAAGCAGCAGCGTCTTCTCACCAGCATCCCTGCTGCCGGAGTCTGGACGGGGCTGGTAGCTAGAGGGCCGAGAGCAGATCCCTCCGAGGGCTGGCCCTTGGGAAGGCGCCTTCAGCAGTGGGACCAGGCAGGTCACCATAACCGAGAACTGCACATCCGCCCCTGCAGCCAAGCCCAAGCGCGCCAAACCCTCTAAGAAGTCCACAGACCACCCCAAGTATTCCGACATGATCGTGGCTGCCATCCAGGCCGAGAAGAACCATGCTGGCTCCTTGCACCAGTCCATCCAGAGCCAGTACATCAAGAGCCACTACAAGGTGGGGGAGAATGCCGACTCCCAGATCAAGTTGTCCATCAAGCGCCTGGTAACCACCGGGGTCCTCAAGCAAACCAAAGGGGTGGGTGCCACTGGGTCCTTCCAGCTGGCCAAGAGCAATGAGCCCAAGAGGGCAGTGGCCTTCAAGAAGACCAAGAAGGAGGTCAAGAAGGTGGCCACACCAAAGAAGGCAGCCAAGCCCAAGAAGGCTGCCTCCAAAGACCCAAGCAAGAAACCTAAAGCCACCCCAGTCAAGAAGGCCAAGAAGAAGGCGGCTGCCACACCCAAGAAAACAAAAAAAACCAAGGTTGTCAAGGCCAAGCCAGTCAAGGCATCCAAGCCCAAGAAGGCCAAACCGGTGAAGCCCAAAGCCAAGTCCAGTGCCAAGAGGGCTGGCAAGAAGAAGTGAGGAGGAAGCCTTTTCTTACGGACACTCCACTCTCTCACTCTGTAAATACTTTTTTCCTTTCTTCCTTGATTCTTTGCAACCCTTTGCCCCGTTTGTTCTGACTTTGTAAGAGACAGACTTTGAATTCCTCGGAGATTGTGGAATAATTGCTTTTTCCTTCCAGTTGTGCAAGGACCGCAACAACAAATCTCATCTCTGTAACGATGAGGATGTACTTAAATTTCGTTTTGTTGATTCGCTATTAATCTTAATGGGGTTCGGGTTTGGGTGGGGTGTGTGTTGTGTTAGGGGGGTTGCTATGAGGGTAGATGGGGATGGAGAGAACAGGCTCAGCAGTTTGTCCTCCTAAAGGAGAGGGAGCCCAGGAATTTATTGTAAAGGTCTGTAGGAGTGTCTTTAAGGTGTTTTGTTTTGTTTTTTAAGTTGGGCACCCCTGTGAGAATTTCACAATCTTTACTGGGGTGAGAGGGGAGAGCAGCAGGGGGTCCAAGGCCAGGTCCTTCTCTCCTCGGTCTGAGTGCCCTTCTGGCCTCCCTATTGTCTTAGGGAAGGGGGGGGGAGGGACAAGTCGCAGCTGCTTGGAGAAACTAGCTTTTCACTATCAGCTAGAAATCAGCTATGGGGGAGGGGGCTCTGTGGCATAGGCCAAATCTCTTAATGGGAGTGGAAACTTTGGGGGAAGGATGGGGAGTCAGCCAAGTGCCTCAGTGTGCCCTGCTGAAACTTGGGTTTTTCCATACAGTTTGATGGATTGTTATCACCTTGGGACGACTTTTTATGTCTGTTTTGTCCCTTCTCTAAAGACGTGGCTTTGCTTGGTCTGGTGGGGCTCCAGTCCCACCACCAGCTGCTTAAAAACCTCCCGACCTCTTTTTAATTCTGAGTCTGGTTTTTTTGTTTTTTGTTTTTTTAGGTAGATGTAGAGGGGAGGGGGAGGGGCAGGGAGTGGACGGTAAGACATACTGCAGCTGATTTGGAATTTGCTACATAGTTATAGAGCTAGATCTATGTGCATGTGTGTGTATTTGTATATATGCATACCTAGGGCTACTGCTTAGGTTTTACATCAGGAGCTGGGAGAAAAAACCTGTACAGTTGTCTGTCTTATTTTTAATATGAAAAATCAAGCACTTGCGCCACCCCACCCCATCCCCACCTTTTTTAAACAAGTGTTACTTGTGCCGGGAGAAATTTGCTGACGTTGTAATTTTAAAACTTTAAAATAAAATCTGGGAAAAGAAAAAAAAAAACTGGTCCTTGGAAAGATTAGATAAAAGTGGTAA